TCACAAGCGAGGCATAAGCCGCTGTGTTTATAGATCTCCCAGCAAAGGCGCCCTTACACCGTGCCCTGGAGGTTTCAAATTACTTTCTGCTCCTGCCTCCTGTCCAACCTGCCTGCCCGTCCGTGTTACCTCTTCACGCTGTCTTCAGGCACTTCCCTGCTAGCGTGGGCGTGGAGGTCAGTGAAGGAGAAGTCGTCCCCCTGTGGGAAGGATCACACAGCCATTTGGCTGCTGCTGAGTATGGCCAGCTTACACTCCAATCCCCACAGTACCACTCGGATTCTCAGAACCTCACAGTAAATCCACTGAGTCACTTTATTCCTTTTCCCAGCACTGCTGCCCCTCGAAGCTTCCCTGCAATTCCGTGAAGCTGATCCTGTGGGAAAACTACCCACTCGAGTGATTTAGGCCGCCTTCTTCACCTCCCACTCCAAGAACAGAGAGCCAGGAGGTCATCTTTAGTCCACCATTTTTCTCTTCTAGGGTTTTTATTCCTGAAAGGTTTATAGCATTACATTTCATATTTAAGTATGATCCGTTTAGGGTTAATTCATGTGTAAGAGGTGAGGTTTAGGTTGAGATGTTTTAGCCTATGGATGTCTGTTTTATCTGATACTATTTGTTGAAAAGATAAATACTTCCTCCTTCAATAGCTTTTGTATCTTTGTCAAAAATGAGTTGGATATTAATTTTTTTTTCTGGATTAATATCCTCTGTGAACTTTTAGCCTCTTCATGAGTAAAGGGAATCTTTTTATCTGTGCATGTAGATTTCATTATGTATATATATTTTATTACAGACATATGTTTTGGTTACATAAAGATTTATTAGATATATATAAATAGTTATAACTTAATCATTTTAGTTTATGTCCTTATGAAAAGAAAAATAGCAAATATAAATGATTACCACAATTTCAAAAGTATTGCTTTGCTTTCTAGGAGTTTTTTTTAAAATCTTGAACTCTCAGCTGTATTTATCTAGTCTTTCAATCCATTTATTCATCAAACATAATCTGAATACCTATTATGTAGCAGACATATTCTACTATCTCTCAGGACCCTCCCATTCTTAAAAACAGCTCTTGTCCAGATTGAACTGCATCCAGAGGCCAAACTCTTTTCATTTATTTATTTTTATTTTAGCATATTATGGGGGTACAAGTGTTAAAGTTACATATATTAACAAGAAAAAAATAAATAACCCTATTAAAAAGTGGGTAAAGGACTTGAACAGAAACTTTTCTAAAGAAGACAGAAGAATGGCCAACAAACATATGAAAAAATGCTCAACATCTCTAATCATCAGGGAAATGCAAATCAAAACCACAATGAGATATCACTTAACTCCAGTCAGAATGGCCTTTATCAAAAAGTCTCCAAACAACAAATGCTGGCGTTGTTGCCGAGAGAGAGGAACACTCCTACACTGCTGGTGGGACTGCAAACTAGTTCAACCTCTGTGGAAAGCAATATGGAGATACCTTAAAGCGATACAAGTGAATCTACCATTTGATCCAGCAATCCCATTGCTGGGCATCTACCCAAAAGATCCAATGGCACTCTACAAAAAAGACACCTGCACTCGAATGTTTATAGCAGCACAATTCATAATTGCAAGGCTGTGGAAACAGCCCAAGTGCCCATCAATCCAAGAATGGATTAATAAAATGTGGTATATTTTATACTATTCAGCTCTAAGAAACAATGGTGATATAGCACATCTTATATTTTCCTGGTTAGAGCTGGAACCCATACTATTAAGTGAAGTTTCCCAAGTATGGAAAAACAAGCACCACATATACTCACCAGCAAATTGGTATTAACTGAGCAGCACCTAAGTGGTCACATAGGTACTACAATAATAGGGTATTGGGCAGGTGGGAATGGGGAGGGTGGCGGGTATATACATATATAATGAGTGAGATGTGCACCATCTGGGGGATGGTCATGCTGGAGACTCAGACTTGTGGGGGAAGAGGGAGAAATGGGCATTTATTGAAACCTTAAAATCTGTACCCCCATAATATGCTGAAATAAAAAAAAAGGATTAGAAGGTACAGCTTTCTTTTATGCACTTATGGCAAATATTTGTGAAAGCCCTAACTATGTAAAAGGTAAAACTTTTTTCCAAGTATTTTTTCCCACCCAAGTTTTTCTTTCTAATTAGTGTAAAACAACACAGGAAAGCAAATTTTGCCCACAAAATAGACTTTATCTTACAAGTCCAACATAACTAAAGCATTTTACAATAGATGGGAATTTCGGTGCTGTTGACAAGTTTCTTAGAAATTAATTTCTATGAAAGAGATTTCTTTCTCAGTGGCAAGGGTTAAGAGAGATGAATGGAAAGGAAAAAGGAGAACACCAGAAATCTGCAGGCCAATTTGGAAATTAGGTAATTAAGAGAAAATAACAAGTAGAGGGTTTTTTTGTTTGTTTGTTTGTTTGTTTGTTTGTTTGTTTGTTTTTTGGTCTGTATTTTTTGGTTGGTTGGTTTTTTCTAGATTAAATGTTTACACGAGGTGCTCTTCAGTTTGGGGATAATAAAATTATTCTCAGAAAGAGACCTAATGAGTTGTAAACTTGCCTAGAAATCAATTTTAGGAGAACTCTGAAGAAACAGATTGGCTGAGAACAGGTGGTGATGAAGTGGGAAACACTTCAAAAGAGGGAAGAACAAATAATCCCTTCACTGATTATCCTATTCTGGCAGAAACAGCCACTTACATAAGAGTCTGAACTCTGCTCTCCAGTCTAGAATGTCTGGAGGGGAAGAGATTATAAATAGCAAAATCAAGTTGCATTTTGAGTTTACTAGTCTCTGTTTGTCCCAGGAAAATCAAATGGAGTCTTCAGTACATAACTATCTCTCATTATTTCATCTTTTTTCCACATCCCCAAATGGTAAAGGGGACTGGCCATATGAGTGGAGATGACACTGGAGTGGCTGTCTACTACACTAGCTCTTAGCTAGAATTGTGCATCACAGTGACCTGGGGAAATTTTTTAAAAATCTACAACTCTAGGCTCTCCCCTGAAGATTTTGATTTAGTAAATCTAATAAAGCCTGGAAATGTAGATTTTAAAATATTAAATTAAATATGAATAGACTGTAAATGAATAAATGGAAAAATCCATGAAGTGAGTATTATGAGTCATAACAGCAATTTGTATTACATGTCAGGGCCTGATTTTTTAGTAAAACATGTGATACTAAAGAAAGGAAAGATTTTACATGCAAATCCTTGCTTTATACACAACCATGTGGAAACACATGTGTAGCAAACATGAAACACAAGGGCCATAGTCTAAATATGGGTGGCCACACCTGTTTAGTTTGTCTCCATAAATGCAGTTAATGGGTACAGTTTAGGAGACATATAGAAATCTGGATTTCAAGCTTCTCTTAAAGAATCAAATGTGGTGTCCCTTGAGCCAATCTTACTGTTTGGTGTGCAGTACAGATGCGGCCCCTTTACATGAGGTGTATGTTCTCCACTTTTATACTGTGCCCACCTAGGTACTTCGCATGCTCAGGTCACCTTTGCCTCTGTAAGTTCTTGAGTTTACAGCTCTTGTTTTATAGCATATTATGATAAAGATTTTGATGTTTTTAAGACAGTTTATATGTGTTTATAATATATAGTCTATATTTTATATTAATCCCTTAGTACTGGTGTTGGATTGTAGAATTTACAAGTTGATTTTTTTTAAAAAACTGTTTTTCTTTATATATACCATAAGCAATTGTCCCCCCATTAGCATGCCAATACCTTTTTTTAGGCCAGTCATGGTTATAGTGGAATAGGTTGAGCATATTGCAGACAGCATTGTATATGTCTCCTTAGCATTGTCCCTTAAAAATGCAAGCAGATTTCATCATGCTAAAAATACTCCATATAGATCAGTGCTAGAAATTTTATTGATAAGTGATTGTGTTTATATTTCTGATTTCTATTGTGCCTAAAATATTAATAAAGTATAACCTGAAGTAGCAATTAAGATGGAAACCAGAATGACAATGGGTTAAAAAAAGTAGGTATGAACTAGAGTCCTGGGATTATCATTATCATTGAGAATAAAATTTCATACTGAGCTTTCTAACAGCTAAGATAAAAATCCATTCCCTTGTAATATCAGAAACCCCATGCACCATTTCATAATAAGTAATCAAAATTCATTTGCAGCCCATCTCTTTTAATTCAGAGCTCATTTCTTTAGTGACCCATTTGGAGCAGGAATGCCTGGCATTAGGTGGCATCTGGGATCCTGACACCATTGATAGAGGAGAACCAAGCAAGTTTGTGTCACCTGGAGGAAACCTGTGCCTTTGTTGGAAAGTGCTCAGAACTGTATCCCTGAAACTCCCATTACTCAAATGTTAATGTTTTCCACAAAAAGTGTTGTCAAATAGGGATTAGGCAAAGTCCCAGAGATTTCTTGAATATTGGACATAGAATGCACAGTTTTGTAATATTTCTTAAACATAGATGATCATGGAATATTTCTGTTGGGGGACAGTCTTTGTAGTACATATTCTTTGGAATATAGTTTAGGAAACACCTAGAGATAATAATTTAGATTATTAATTTAATATAAATACTTAAAAGATTTACTACTGTGTCCTAGGGTTGGAGATATAGAGAAAAGATAGAGTCTCTGCCCTCAAGAAGCTCTTGGTTTACAAGGGAAAGAATAAACTAATTGCAGTATGCCATGCTAAATGGTGTGAGAGAAGCAAAGATTCCTGGAGCTGGCAAATGTCTGAAGTGAGTTTTGGAGATGGCAGGAGTTAACGTGGTGAGGCGGAGGAAAGGAGCTTGCAAGGGAAGGAGCCAGCATACGGAGAGCACAGGGAGGAGAGCAGGCAGGGACTACTTTTTGTTTACTTCCTATGTTATACGTATAAGTTCATAGTATCTTATATAAGGTTTTGAGTTCAGTTGAGAAATATGTAATTTTTTAAATTATTAATTTTTTTTTGCTGTTTTACAAGGTGGCTTCACACCACTTTTCCTTGCTGTGTGTAACACAAGACAGCGAATGGTGGAGTTTTTAATAAAGAAAAATGCAAACGTAAATGCAGTTGATAGTTGGAAAAGGTACAGTAGTTAGTCATGTTTCTTTAAACCTGAGTGTTGCTCCAGAGTGGTAATCACACAAGTCAGAAATATTAAATAAATAAAATTAACTTATCATTATTGCAATACAATGCAAACTATCAACACAAATCATCAGGTAGAAAAGCAAATATTTGGACTGGGCAACATAAAGAACAGTGTATAGTAGAATGTATCTTCTCTTATTATATTGACTGATGCTTGTTATTTGTAATCCAATGTTTTTGGTCCTGTGACCTTATCTTACCTAAAGGTCTTTTGTATTTCATTAGCTTCATAACTTGTGGACTTTAGCTTTCAGTTTACTTTATGTCTCAATATTGAACTTCTTAACCTTATTCTAGTATTTTTCTAACCTCTGCTTCTTATACACTTTTCCTTTAAAAATATTGTGTTAAACATAAATAAGAGTTGAAAATCATTTTGTCTTTTAGATGACTCTTTGCTTTAAGTTCCTTTCTTTGAAGAATATTGATGTCAGGTGATCCCTAAGTGACTTTTAATTGCTATTACCAGGTCCTAGGGGTTCATTGTTTTCTTTCCTTTTTCATTTCTAGTGTATTTTGATTTTTTCAAAATAAGTATGCATAGAGGGAAGAAAGTTACCTTAAATTGGATAAACGTGAAATGAAGACAAGCCATGGGTGAGTGATAAAGAGAAAAGAGGCTTTAGACTCACACATGACTAGATTTAATTCCTAGTTTTCCTGCTTGCTGGTCGGGTGGCCTTGGGAGCACTGCTTATCACCAAATACGTTTTCCAATATGAAAAGGATAATAATGTATGTTTCAAGGATGGTTGTGTGTAAGATTATATAGAGCATTGAATTCAGTGCCTAGCATATATTGTAAGCATTGTTTACTGAAATTACCAGGACTACTATTAATATTATTACCATTATTATTAATATTGCTGTTTTAAGCCTTCAGATAGCTCTTTCTTATCTGACCCCAAGATGACTGACGCACAAACTATTATATCAGATTAGGGAAGTAATGAAGAAATCTTCACTGAAATCTTTGCCTACTTTAGATAATTGACATCAGTAGTTTCTTGTCCATCAAAGGACTTTAAATTAGCATCCTTTACTATGTAATACCCCAGAGGGACTAGAGACTTCCTTTTTGTCCGTTCTTTTTGGCCTTGGCAGTAATTTACAAAGATGAACACTAGAGCACCCAAGATGTTTATGTGTATTAGTGCATGTAAATGGTTAAATCTACACTGACAAGCGAGATATGACCTGGGTAAAGTATATGAAGTGAGCTGTTTAAATAAGTTTATTAAAGTTCCTCACAGTGGAACCTGAACAGTCATCTGTCTGTTGTTTTAGAACAACCCTCATGATTGCATTACATAAGAAATCACTAGATATAGCCAGTCTTCTTCTTCAGCAACTCTTTAATGTCTCTTGTCAAGATATGGTTGGACAGACTACAAAAGATTATGCTGTTTGTAGTGGTTTGAAATCTTAAATATTTACATTAAAAGGCATGTTAACCATATTGATGTTTAAAATAATTATAACTATTGTGTCTTATACATCAGGTGAGATTTCATAGTTAGGTTCAGGTAGTTGTGGAATGGCGGTGAGTCAATCCACTTCATCCACCAGAAATCAAGCAAAAGGCTAGAGTACTTCTAAGTAGCAGGGGGTGCAGGGTTCTTTATCTCAGGACTTTTAAGATGATTATCCTTAGGGATCCCAACATTGCCCATTTTATTCCAAGTAGAACCCCTCTGAGGGGATAAGAATAGTGTCACATTTTGATTTTTCTAATTAGTTAGTCAGGTCTTGAATGTGCAATTTAGCCAAAAGTCTTTGTTCTCCCCCCGGAGGACTATCTCCTATTTACCTCCTTCTTGAAGTTTTCAAGAATCTAAGGGGTTCCCTAAGTCCAAGAATCTAAGGGGTTCCCTAAGTCCAAGGAAGACAATCTTCTTTTACAAGTCAGAAAGAGGAGGAATGAAGACATACTAATCATTCCATTGTTTCTACTGATTCTGTTGCTGCATTGTTGCCATTGGGACTGGTCCTGCAGTCTCAGATGAGTGACCTTTGTTACCAAGATGCCCTGACTGACAGATCCCCCAGTCTTCATGGTGATCCACACTTAGACTTCCAAGTTACAACTTTTTCTAGTTCACTTACATATTCTTACATGCTCAGCTATTGCTCCCAAAGCACTAGCACCCTGCTCTGGCAGCTGCACTTCCTGGGTTTAGCCACACACACAGTGAGCAAATTGACCCTCCCCCGCTGCACTCAAAACCTTATTTGGAGCCCACATCTTAGGCCACCCCAGACCCTCATGGTAAGTTTTCCTTTGAGGCCCTTGTTTGGCTTTTCTCTAGCAAATAGTATGTGGGATTGTTCTCAACTATCAGGGAGCTTCAAAGAATGTTGCAGGAAGAGATCAGAGTTGAGTTTCTTCTTTGCTTCCGGATATGCACCCTAAGGCCCCTTCTATGCTGTGTAGCACCTTTTCTTAGGTAGCGGAAGGTCCCATATGCTCCTTCCCCAGAGTAGTGAGCAGTGGTCAACTGCTCAAGGGTTTTGGTTTCCATAATCATAAAAATCTCCCAAACTACTTGTATCTCTACTGCAAGTTTTTAAAATATTTTCAAATTCTGCCTCCTAAGGAAGCCATTCAACAGAACTCTCTGACTCTAAGGTAGGTTAGTTGGAGTGAACAGAGCTGAGCCTCATCTGTGATTCATCAGTCTCCATGTAGAAAACCAAGGCTTTGTGCTTGCATGGACAGCACATATACCAAGATTGGGACCCTACAGAGAAGATTAGCATGGCCCCTGCCCAAGGATGGCACCCCAATTTGTTATGCATCCCATATTTTGTGGAAGGTTCTTTGAGTACTTGCTTACCACCTCCAAGGAAACAGCGTGAGTCAAAACAAAATGTGTGACACTCAATGTTGAAATTATGATTTCCATTACAAAAATATGAATGTAAGGTGATCTATGACATGAGAACAAAGCTGAGTACCATGTGAGATGTCATGTGCAAATAAATATGTTGTCAGTATGTATCTTGGAAATGAGAAAATGCCAATTTGCATCTCATTCATGGAACTTGAAGAAAAGAAAAGTAGGATTTTGTCTTCCATGTCTGTTGGAGCTGAATATGGAGATTAAGCATCATTCTAAAAAAAATCTAGTGATTCAGAGATTGGTTAGGTAGAGAAGGAATAGCAGTAGTCTAAGCTAGGTCTTGACATCTATTTGTTTCTGCCCTTGGTGTGATTGATTGGCCCAGCAATAGGGGACAGTTATGTTATCCAATTTGCTGGGTGCAGTGCCTCATGCTTGTAATCTTAGCTACTCCTCAGGTTTAGGAGGGAAGATTGCTTGCACTCAGGAGTTCGAGGCCACAGTGTGTTATGACCATGCCACTGAACTCCACACTGGGTGACAGAAAAAGACCCCTATCTCAACAACAACAATAAAAAAAGTCATCTAATTTAATGAGATAATATTTTTTAAATAAATTTTGTTGCAAATTATGAAATAGCAGAGACACCCTGGATTATAAGCCACAAAAAATAGAACAACTAATACCCCAAATTGGTACTTAATAACATTTTCTAAAAACTGCAGCATTTGACTTATTAGAACTTATGAAGAACTATACATTGGGTTTTATTTGGGATTCCCAAATTGTTTCAGCAATTAGGTTCAAAAACAGACTATTCCATTGCTTTACTATCTCTGAGCACTTTAAAAATGTAATCTCGTAAAATGTTCAAAACAACCTAGTGAAATAAGGCAGTAAAATCCTTATTTTTCAGAAGACAGTGAGCCTAAGAAAAGCAGCTTGTCTAAGAACAAATAGCTGTTACAGAGCTAGGACACTGCATATGTCAAGCGAATTCTAGTTAATTTACTAAGCTGTACTGCCCGCAGTTCATCACTACTTCAACTCAGTTTTCTTCTTCTTTAATTAGAAGCTTAGTAAGTTTGTAGAAGCTACAGATTTGAAGTGTATGGGATAAATAAAGTTCTGATATTAGCTCTGGTATTTTCTGAAATAGCCTAAACATTTAATATATTTGGTAAATGTTTTTCCTATCAGTATTGTAATAGTAATTTTATTTATTACATTTTGTATACTGTAGCATTTACAAAAAACTTTCAGAATATGAAGAGGAAAGATACCAAATGACAATAAGAACTGCAAAAATCTTCAAAGTCCTTCTCAAAATAGCAATTCAGGTAAGAATTCTGATATTGAATTAGTCTTGGTGGTTTTACTCTAATATAAAAAGTAAGATTAAGAAAGTATTGACCACAAAAGAACAGTTTAAAAAAAATCATCTTCAAGTTATGCATGTTTTTTTTAAAAATTTCCTTGTTTAAATTAATTTCTTTAGTTTAGAATTCAGAATTATTTAGGAAATTATTTGTAAGTAGTTTATAATCTCAAACAGTTGTCTGAAAAAAAGTTAATTAAAAAAATTTTTATTTAAAAATTATTATTTAAAAAAATTATTATGTTTCCTCTATAGTCAGATTTTAATAAATTGGATTTGTTATAACAACAGATCTTCTATTTAGTTTTTATAATAAATGGTTTGCAATTAGTAAGTGAACTTAGTTAGCGTTGATCCTTGAACAACCTAGGGATTATGGACGCCAGTCCCCAGTGCAGTCAAAAATCTGCGTATAACTTTTGACTCCCCCAAAATTAACTACGAATAGCCTACTATTGTGCAGAAGAAGCCTTACCAATAACATAAGCAGCTGATTAACACGTTTTGTATGTTATATGAATCATATACTGTATTTTTACAATAAAGGAAGCTAAAGAAAAGAAACTGTTATTAAGAAAATCATAAGGAAGAAAAACTTTATTTACTGTTTATTAAGTGGAAGTGGATCATCATGAAAGTATTCACCCCTCAAGTCCACATTGAGTAGGCTGGGGAGGGGGAGGAGGAGGAGAGGTGGCTCTTGCCTCTCCAGGTGGCAGAGGCAGGAGAAAATCTGGGGATAACTGAGTCCCTGCAGTTCAAAGCCACCGTTGTTCAAGGGTCAACTGTATTACATAGTGATTTGTGTCATGGAAAACATAACTATCTTGAAAACTGGGAATTTAAAAATACCCTGTCTGGTACCATAAACAAATGGCCATAAGAATTGCAAAACTTAACCAGTGTGTGCCAATACCAGTAGATTATTATTTAAAGATGCCTCCTGGCCGGGCGCTGTGGCTCACGCCTGTAATCCTAGCTCTTGGGAGGCCGAGGCGGGCGGATTGCTCAAGGTCAGGAGTTCAAAACCAGCCTGAGCAAGAGCGAGACCCCGTCTCTACTATAAATAGAAAGAAATTAATTGGCCAACTGATATATATATATAAAATTAGCCGGGCATAGTGGCGCATGCCTGTAGTCCCAGCTACTTGGGAGGCTGAGGCAGCAGGATTGCTTGAGCCCAGGAGTTTGAGGTTGCTGTGAGCTAGGCTGACGCCACGGCACTCACTCTAGCCTGGACAACAAAGCGAGACTCTGTCTCAAAAAAAAAAAAAAAAAAAAAAAATGCCTCCTGAGTAAAGAAGTCAGAGATGCAGTTCCTTGTTGAGAAGCACAGGTTATATTCCATATTCTCATGTTAGCAAGGTCTCGCTATTAACAACTTTATTCCTCACAAGTTGAAACAGAATGAGATCTATTTACTTTGTTAGAGCAAGATGTTTTCTTCCATCTGCTGCATGACTGTCATGATAACAGTAGTTTTGTTATAACAAGATAATATGTTACCATTAGCCAAAAGATTATCACAATATATATTCCCCTATCCCAACTCTAGGTCAGCAAATTATAACCAAAGTGCAAAAATGTATTGCCTTAACAAAATTGTTACTATGTTAACTAGATGTGATGCCTAATGCATTGTACAATCTGAACTGTATGAAGACACCTTTGATTATTTAGTTTATATTCATGAAAGAGCTACTGTAAGTTTGGTTTTGCAAGTGGCAGAAGACATAGTTTTGGTCTTTAAAGTGTTTTTAATAGAAATGAGCTGTCCCTATGTAATTTCTATGTTTTTTCAACAGAATTTTCAGAGGACATTTTTATTTATTTATTTGTCCATTTAACAAATGACTATCAAGTGTCTTTTAGGCACTAAACATTTTTCTAACATTAGAGAATACATAATTTTAAAAAATACAATCAGGAGCTTGTTATTCTAATTGTCATTTCTATTATTCACTACTTTATTTAGGGCTCACTGTGTGCCACATGCCCTCTGGGGGCTTACAGTTATCATTTAGTACATATTTAGTATGTTCAATATGTGCCAGGCACTTTAAGTTCATGGTGAGGAATTGAAGCTTTAAAAAGTGGGTGGGTTTTAAGGTAAGCATGCAGAGCAAGTGGAAATTTTCCAGGTAAAGAGGCAGAAGGAACATCTGTCAAGATTGCGTGTTTGGCAGAAAAAACAGCAAGTGCAGAAGCTAAGAGATGTGAGTGAACTTCGCAGGGTTTGCGAGCAGTTCAATTTTGCTAGTGCAAAAAGCGTGATATGGGAGTGGTTGGGAATGAGGTGAATACCTAGCTAAGGCAAGCTCAGGGAAGACTTGTTAATGAGTGGCTCTCATCCCGAAGACCATGGGAGATTTCCTGGGTAGAGGGATTTTGGCTGCAAAGAATAGATGAGGTAAGGCAGAGTGGCAGGAACAACAGGAACCAGAGTTGTTTGGGTGGTTCAGTGATAGCATCGGATCCGCTTGTTGTCCCTCTTTCAGCTTGCCGTTGGCAGTGATTTGTTCATGTTTCCCTGCACAGTTGGCTAATTTGCGACAGCTTTAATCGTCATGTTCTCACAAGACAGTGTCTAAAGGCTGGATGGGCTGCTTTTCTTCATATGTTTCTTATAAATAGGGAGAGAACTGCAGTGGACTTCTGTAACATTTTATCGGTTGGATTATGCCACATGCTCATTCCTAAACCAGTGGTGAGAAAACAGATGTAATTACTGTGATTAGCTTATAATAATTATTTCCCTTTTTGGAGCTAGGGAGGGCTACTGTGATGATAACTATCCAAATAGAATTGTGTTTCTCCAGCAAGAAAAAAGAAGAAATGGCTATTGGGTAGGGGACCAGCAATGTTTACTGCAGGGATTCATTGGAGAATTTTGAGCAGGGAGTCGTAAGGTTAGATTTGAGTACTAGGGCATTCTGGTTATGGTCTAAAGCAGGGATTGGCAAGTGGCAAGCTTTTTTTTTTTGTAAAGGACCGGATACTAAACATTTCAGGCCATGTGGTCTGTGTCATATCTACTCAACACTGCCAGTGTAGTTTGAAAGCTCCCATAGATGAGATGCAAACGAATAGGCATGACTGTGCTCCAGTCAAACTTTGTTCACCAAACCATAGGGCAGGCTGGATTTTGCCTGTGGCCTGTAGTTTGCTGAGCCCTCTTAAAGGGGCTAGACGGAAAGTAACCATGTAAAGAGACTGGGAGACAAGGGAAGTTTTGCAGTAGTCAAAGCCATAATTTCCTTGGCACCAATCCCAAGACTAGCACCAATCTGTTATGAGGTTTTCACCCATCCATATGAAATAAATAAAGTTAGGATGCTCTGTCTATTCATTTTAAAATGTCAGTCTTTTTCTTGGGGTTATGCATTTTTGATTGGTTTTGCTTAAATTTTTTTTTACTTTAATAACAATAATAAACCCATCCGTTAAGAGATTATGGTTAGAAAATTTAAACGCAAAATAAATATAAACTAGCAAATATACATAAAAATGGAAACAAAACCTATTTATTTTATATTTATATTTCCAGTAGCAGTAAAAATATAAAGCATATGCAGAAAAGAGGTACAGTTAATATGATTTAGTGATTAATGAATACAAAACATTAGGGGGCAGAGAGAAATCTCAGATGATTCATAGGTTTCCAGGTCATGCACTAACATTTAAACTGGACATGAGGAAGGAGAAGGAAATTGTCAGGTGAAGAGAGAAGAGCAGCAAGTCGAGGGAAGACTACCTTTTCTCTCTACATTAACAGGTTGAGTTTCAGTAGGCAGTTGGCTAATAGGCATTTGTAGGCATGGGTTAAATTGTGAGGTTGAAGATGCAGAGTTGGAATAATATTGTTAAACAACTAGGAGATGTTATAGATCTGAATGGGCTTGTTCATGATGAGGAACATACAGAAAGAGAAGAAGGCCGGTGATGAAAACCTGGGAATATCCGTATTTCACAGAAGAAAGGAGGTAGTGAAGAAGACAGTAGTGGCTAGAGAAAACTGGGTGAGGACTCAGAGGAAGTGATTGTCAGGGTGTGAAATCCATATGCGGGCAAGAAAGAATTCTCAGACAGTGACTAGGATATACAAAAGTAAAGTTTATTTATTTTACTGAGAGAGAGAGAGAGAGGCCATGACAAACAGAGGGAGGAAAGAAACGTCAGGTGGTAAGGAAAATTGCTTGGTGTTTTTAAAGGGTAGAAATGGCTTTTTTTCCCTCTGCTTCAGGGGACTGATAACAAAAGCGGCTGTGAAGCTGCTGTGTTGGCTTTTTCTGATTCTCACGTAGCAGATTGATAGTAGAAATTAGTGTCTTCTTTCTTCTTGATAGCGGGAGGCACCTCATTCTGTCTCTTCTTGAGGTAGCAGGGGAAGTTTACGCTCCTACTGTCCACTCAGGAACTTTTCAAGGCTGAGAAAGAACTCAGAGATAACAAGTTAGGCCACATGTGTTTTAATTAAACAAAGGGTAGCTGTGTTGAGAGTTTATTTCTGTTACTCTCTGTTTGATAGTTTGTTTTCCTCTATTAGATAGGTTATTAGTAAGACCACCTTTCGGTGGTCTTGCAAAAATTCAAAAAAAGGTGATAATTTCAAGGACAGAGTATCCATTTTGACAAATAAGATTACTGAAAAGTAGGCTGGATTGAACGTTTTAAAGCTCTTTGGTGGTAGCCTATTCAAAACAACAATTGTAAAGTTATCAGTCTACTATTTTTGTGATTTATACTTCTGGAATCCAAATATGTAAGAATATATCTGCCAAGATCCTACCTAACTTTTTTCTAACTGCAGTAGCCACCTACATAGGGTCAGAGAAAATGGTCTAGACTGGTGAGAAACATGACAACATTTTTCCAGAACTGTCAAAACCTAATGATCATGTGAGGAAAAGTGTTGTCTTTCTTAACTGCTGCTTGTGGAAATGCTTACTTTGTACTCAAGTCCTTGATAAGCTCTTTTGGATGCGTTCCAAAACAAAAATCTGGCAGCACTGGATGCCATTGTCACACACACATGCCCTCCCTCTGTCATGGAATCATACCAGAACCATGTTTTGACAGAGCTTTGAGTTTTCATCAGAAGTCATTTACAGTTGAGTTTCAAGAAAGTGACATTATTAAATATTTTATTGCATAAAACTAATATAATACCGCAGAGAAAAATATAAGGTGATATGCTAACTATACTGATTCTCAGTATTTGGGAAACTCGGGTGACATTGGCTAGAAAGTCAGTACCTGATTCTTTTTGTTAGTGTAATTCTCTTTCCATTGGCCTTCCTCTCACATCTCTGATTTTACTTCTTCCTGTTGAATTTCAGCCCTAAAGAAAATATTGTTTGAACCCATTTGTAGTATATGTATGTTTGAAGAACGTGTATGATTTCCTTTTAAGAGAATTGGCTACCTATCCTGGACTATATCTGGTATTCTATTAGTTTGTAATGCTAAACTTCTTTATATCTGTATCACAGTGACAGTGCTGCTACTGATGATTGGCCAAGATTTTAAGTGTCTTCAGGATTGGCAAATACAAATTGTTTTATCTGACAATTTTCATGTGTAGTGCTTCTATGGTATTATATTTCTTCAGAAATGGGTAATCTGTGATTTAGCTGAAATATGTGATCAATTGGATTACCACACTGTTAACAATCTCTACATGAGATGACTCCTTTCTTAGCCCCAAATAAGTTGAAGGCCCTATTAATTTTTAATGAACAAGTCCACTATTTGGGGAACAGTAGATAACTCATCCTACATTTGGATGTGACATTTTTGGCTTTTTGATTTGTTTAATGAAGAACTTCCTTTACTAAGTGAATATATTTAGTTTTATAAGAAATTAAGAAAAAGATTAGAAACTAAAGGAACTCTGTGATCAGTAGCATAGTATCATACTATATCCAATGGCTATTTCTCTACAATTATCCTAGTTACCTGGATGATGCACAATTACTTTATTTATTATTATTATCATTATTATTTTTTAAGAGTTGGGGTCTCAGTCTGTCTCACAGACTGGATTGAAGTGGCTATTTACAGGCATGATCATAATACCCTGCAGCCTTGATCTCCTAGGCTCAAGTGATCCTCCTGCCTCAGCCTCCCTGGGTAGCTGGGACTAAGGCTCAGCTTGATGCACAACTATTATAAAAAGAAAATAAACCCTGTTGAGTTGCCAAGAATTGCCTATGATTTTTTTCATTTTCTTGCTAGAAACTTTCATCCTATTGAACATATTGTCAGTCATCAAGATTCGGTATTTTTTATTCTGGTTAAAATAGGATTTTTACTTATTGTATATTGTTTTATAACATCATTGTTTCATCTATCCCTTTTATTCTTTTGTTAAAATGGATATAGAAAGAGGAATTTATCTCCAAGGGAAATATCAAGAAAAACAGATTAGGGACATGTATTAATACTGTGAAATCACTTTGTCAATATGTGATTGTAATCACATATAACACATACACTTAAATAATAAAAACATCATATAATGCAGTTGCGTCAGGGGTTCCCAAGACCACCCCAAGATTTGGTGGTTCACCAGGAGGACTCACAGGACTCAGCAAATACTCTTACTCAGGGCTTTAATTTATTACAGTGACGGGATACACAGCAACATTGGCGAAGGAAAACAGTACGTATAGTGAAATGTGAATGAAACCAGGTACAGGAGTCCAAGAGTCCTCTCCTACCGAGTTACCTGGATGTGCTTTCCCAGCATCAAATTTTGACAACACATGTGCAGTGTTGTCTACCAGTATCAGACTGTCATTAGAGACTCAGTACCCAAGTTTTTTACGGAGGCTAGTCACATAGACATCCTCTCTCCTGCGTGTACCAAAGTGCAGATGCCCAGAAGGAAAGCAGCTGTTCCGAGTAAACCACATTGTTTGTACAAACAGTTCAGGCACAGTGAGCCACTCTTATCAGTTAGGGAATATTGAGAACTCTACAAATCCAAGTTCCCAAATGCCAGCCAAGGCCCAGCCTTGCAAGCAGGCCTTTCTAAGAAGGGTATTCTCTTCACTAGATGAAATCTTTTCTGTACAGCAATTATAGTCCCAACTTGAATTTTGGTGTTACCTTAAAGTTTTATTTTAATATCGAATAATATAATAACATGGGAGTGGTTTCAGTTGCATGATCCATATTAAGTTGCAATGGTGGGTTTTTTTGACTTTTGGTGAATATTTAACAGGTATTTATATATAAGATACTATGACAATGTTAGGTAATTATAATTTGTCCTTATTTGATAAACCTTTCAGTAAAATTGTTGGATAAAATAAGCACAATAATTTATGATTTGAATTAGAATCAACATTATATTTTATATTTATAGGGATGGTCCAGTTTAGATACATATTGTGTTAAATCCCCATTTCCTCTCTATAATTGTGAAATAAGATAAATATTCATTTTACCTATTACTCTCTTGCCTAAGTGTGCAATTAAAATTACTTGCTTTGTGTATTTTTATATACTTCAATTGAGAGATAGTGCCCATATTCTGCTACTTTGATCTTTAATTATCTCCAGTTTTCAAGGTGGCTGTGTCTGGTTATAATATATGGTAATAACAGGTTCAGTAACTATCTTTTTTACAAATTAATAACCTTAATTTCTAGTGTGATTTTTAGGTTCATGGTAAAATTGAGAGGAAGGTACAGAGCTATCCCACATACCTGATGTGTCCCACACATCCATAACCTTTCTTGTCATGATGTGGTATCTCCCACCAGAATGGTACTTTGTTTTTACATTGATGTACCTACAATGACACATCGTTATCATTCAAAGTCCATAGTTTACATTAGGGTTCACTCTTGATGTTGCACATTCGTGGGGTTGGACACATGTATAATGACATGTATCTACTATTGTAGTATCATACACAGAATAGTTTCACTGCTCTAAAAATCATCTGTATTCTGCCTTTTCATGCCTCCCTCCTCCCCACTCACCCCTGAAAAGCGCTGATTTTACTGCTAGATCTGTATGTTTGCTTTTTTCCAGGGTAGTCACACATAGATGGAATAATACAGTGAATACAGTAGATATCTTTTTGAATATTAAAAAACTAAAGATCCAAAGTAATACAATGCAGCCATTTAAGATACTCTTTTTCCTTGCCTTTGTTTTGATTTTTTATTTTGTTCATCAGTCTAGGATCTGATGACACATGTTTTACGTGCTGCAAAAACTTAATTTCTATAGACATTTGCTGTATAATGGGGAGGGTCGAGAAAAATGACATCATGCAACACTACGGAGCACTAACTGGACCAACATGCTGTGTGAGGTGGGTCCTCATAGAGTCTAGCAATGGAAGGGTTGTCCTTTATAAAATTGGAAAAGTCTTTATACTTATTTTGCAGTTGGAAATAAGACCAGACAGTGATTACTGTAGGTGAATAAATATGTTCCTCACTGATCCTGTTCCTTTAAGGGATGAGTTAGAAAACAGTCTATATTAGTATAACATGGCTCACCTACAACTGGATTTTCTGTCATAAGGAATTCCAAGAAAGTCACACTGTTTTAGTTTCTATAAAATGAAGAGACTTTTTTTCCTCCCACTAGGGAGAGGAAAAACTGTTGGCATATCTTTGGAGCTTGAATGAGTTGATAGTTTTATTGATATATTTTTTCATATCAGATAGTACTTCCTGACAAGTGGCCACACCACCCCAGTGTTTCTTTTTTTTTATTTCAGCATATTATGGGGGTACAAATGTTAAGGTTACATGTGCTGCTTTCTCCCCTTTCCCGCAGAGTCAGAGCTTCACACATGTCCATCCCCCAGACAGTGCACATAACACTCAGTATGTATGTATATACCCATTCCCTCCTCCCCTCCCACCTGCCTGATGCCCAATAAATGTTACTCCTATATGTCCACTTAGGTGTTGATCCGTTAATACCAATTTGCTGGTGAGTACATGTGGTGCTTGTTTTTCCATTCTTGGGATACTTCACTTAGTAGAATGGGTTCCAGCTCTATCCAGGAAAATACAAGAAGTGCTATATCACTGTTGCTTCTTATAGCTGAATAGTATACATATACCACATTTTATTAATACACTCATGTATTGATGGGTACTTGGGTTGTTTACACATCTATGCAAGCGTGAATTGTGCTGCTATAAACATTTGAGTGCAGAAGTCTTTTTTATAGAATGTCTTTTGTTCTTTTGGGTAGATGCCCAGTGATGGGGTTGCTGGATCAAATGATAGATCTACTTGTAGCTCTTTAACGTATTTCCATATTGCTTTCCACAGAGGTTGAACTAGTTTGCAGTCCCACCAGCAGTGTAGGAGTGTTCCTATCTCTCCGCATCCACGCCAACATTTATTGTTTTGGGACTTTTTGATAAAGGCCATTCTCGCTGGAGATAAGTGATATCTCATTGTGGCTTTGATTTGCATTTCTCTGATGATTAGGGATGTTGAGCATTTTTTCATATGTTTATTGGCACTTATTCTGTCTTCTTTTGAAAAGTTTCTGTTCATGTCCTTTGCCCATTTTTTGATAGGGTTGTTTGATTTTTTTTTTCTTGCTGATTTTCCTGAGTTCTAAATACATTCTAGTTCTCAGCCCCTTATCGAATGTGTAGCTTGTGAAAATATTCTCCCATTCTGTAGGCTGTCTGTTTGCTCCTGTGACAGTTTCTTTGGCTGTGCAGATGCTTTTTGATTTGATCAGGTCCCATTTATTTATTTTTGTTGTTGCTGTGATTGCCTCTGGTGTCTTCTTCATAAATTATTTGCCTGGGCCAATGTCTAGAAGAGTATTTCCAACATTTTCCTCCAGAATTCTAATAGGTTCACACTTTAGATTTAAGTCTGTTACCCAGTGTGAGTTGATTTTTGTGAGAGGTGAAAGGTGTGGATCCTGTCAGTCTTCTACATGTGGCTATCCAGTTTTCCCAGCACCATTTATTCCATAAGGATTCTTTTCCCCAGTGTATGTTTTTGTCTGCTTTGTCGATGATTAGATGGTTATATGAGGCTGGTTTTATATCTGGATTCTCAGTTCTGTTCCAGAGGTCTATGTCTCTGTTCTTGTGCCATTACCATACTGTTTTAGTTCCTATAAAACTTTGCAATATTGTTTGAAGCCTGGCAAATGCCTCCCATTTTATTCTTTTTGCCTAAGATTGTTTTTTCTATATGGAGTCTTCTCTGGGTCCATATGAAGCATAAAATTATTTTTTCTATATCTGTGAAAAATTATGTTGGTATTTTAAAAGGGATTACATTGAATCTGTAGATCACTTTGGATAGTATAGACATTTTAACAATGTTGATTCTGCTGACCCACGAACATGGTATGGTTTTCTACCTATTTATGTCCTCTGCTATCTCCTTCCTCAGTGTTTTGTAGTTATCCCTGTAGAGATCTTTTACCTCCTTAGTTAAATATATTCCTAGGTGCTTCATTTTCTTTGTTGCTATTGTGAAGAGTATTGAGTCTTTGATTTGGTTCTCAGTTTGACTGTTATTGGTGTATATGAATTCCTTTGATTTTTGTGTATTGATTTTATATCCTGTGACTTTACTTAACTCATTTATCAATTCCAGAGGTCTCTTGGTTGAATCCTTGGGGTTTTCTAGATATAATATATTATCAACAACAAAGAGTGAGAGTTTGATCTCTTCTGTCCCCATTTGGATGCCATTAATTTCCCTCTCTTGCCTAATTGCTCTGGCAAGGACTTCCAACAGTATGTTGAATAGAAGTGGAGATAGATGGTTGGCAAACTTGTCTGGTTCTAGTTCTAAGAGGGAATGCTTTCAATTTTTCCCCATTCAATATGATGTTGGCTGTGAGTTTGTCATACATGGCTTGTATCATTTTTAGGTAAGTCCTATCTGTGCATATTTTGTTAAGCATTCTTATCATAAAAGGGTGTTGAATTTGTCAAATTCTTTTTCTGCATCTATTGAGAGATCATATGGTCTTTGTTTTTATTTCTGTTTATGTGATGAATTACATTTATAGATTTGCACATGTTGAACCATCCCTGCATCTCAGGGATCAAGCCCACTTGCTCATCGTGGATTATTTTCTTGATAAGCACCTGGATTCAGTTAGCTAGGATTTTGTTGAGAAGTTTTGCATCTATGTTCATAAGCGAGATTGGTCTGTAGTTTTCTTTTTTAGTTGCATCCTTTCCTGGTTTTGGTGTCAGGGTTATGTTGGCTTCATAAAATGTGTTGGGATGGATTCCATCCTTCTCAATGTTGTGGAATAATTTCTTTAGAATAGGTACCAGTTCTTTGTAGGTGTGGTAAAATTTGGGTGTGAAACCATCTGATGTGGGACTTTTCTTTTTATTGCTGTTTCAATTTCAGTACTTCATATTTATCTGTTCAGGAATTCTATTTCTTCCTGGTTGAGCCTAGGGAGGCTGTGTGTTTCTAAGAATTTGTCCATTTCCTCCACATTTTCCAGTTTGTGTGCATACAGGTTTTTGTAGTATTTATAAATTATATCTTGTATCTTCATGGCATCTGTTGTAATTTCTCCTTTATTGTTCTTAATAGAGAGCTTATTAGAAATTTTTCTTTTCTGCTTTTCATTAGTCTAGCCAATGGTGTATCAATTTCATTTATTTATTCAAAGAACCAACTTTTTGTTTTATTAATCTTCCGTATAGTTTCCCTGTTGTCAATTTCATTTAGTTCTGATTTTATCTTAATGATTTCACTTCTTCTGCTGGGTTTGGGGTTGGTCTGGTCTTCTTTTTCCAGCCCTTTGAGTCGATTCATTAGGTTGTCTATTTGTGATCTTTTGGACTTTTGAACATAGGCATTTACAGAAATAAACTTTCCTCTCAGGACTGCTTTAGTTGTGCCCCACAGATTTTGATAAGTAGTGTCTCCCTTGTCATTTAGTTGAAAGAATCTTTTGATTTCCATCTTGATTTCCTCATTTATGAAGTAATCATTCAGAAGAAGGTTGTTTAGTTTCCATGATGTTGTGTAGAAATGAAAGTTTCTGTTGGGGTTGATTTCTACTTTTATTCCAGTGTGATCTGAACAGATACATGGTATAATTTCTATTTTTTTATATTTTTTGAGACATGGTTTGTGACTTAGGATATGGTCAAGCTTAGAGAATGTCCCATGAGCTGATGAGAAGAATGTATATTCAGTGGTTTGTGGTTAGAATGTCCTGTAAATGTCAGTGAGGCCCATTTGTTCTAGAGTTCTGTTTAAGTTCATTATTTCTTTGTTAATTTTCTGTTTGGAGGATCTGTCCTGTGCTGTCAGTGGGCTGTTGAAGTCTCCGGCTATTATGGTGTCTTTGTTTATCAATTTGTTTATATCAAGTAGAGTTTGCTTTATGAATCTGGGTGCACCAAGGTTGGGTGCATACATATTTCGAATTGTTATGTCTTCTTATTGAACTGTACCCTTCACCATTATATAGTGACCTTCTCTGTCTTTTATTACTTTTATTGATTTAAAAACTAAGTTATCTGATATCAAAACTGTCACGTTAGCCTTCTTTTGGCTTCTGTTTGCTTGAAATATTGTTTTCCACCCTTTTACCTTTAGTCTAAATGCACTCTTGCAGGCTAGATGTGTTTCCTGAAGATAGCAAATACTTTGCATGTATTTTTTTATCCATTTGGCCAGCCTATGTTTCTTGAGTGGGGAGTTCAAGCCATTCACACTTATTAAGAGAACTGATAGGTGGGGAAGATTTATGTTCATTCTGTTGGATTGAACTTTGTTGCTTGTTTTCTCTCTTGAGCCATT